CGTGGACCTCACCGGTAGTAAATGGTATGAACTGGAGATTGAAAATACAACGAACGCTAAGCCTTGCTGAGTAGTTTATCCTGTTGTATTCTTAATATATTTTGGATTACGGAAACGCATTGCTTATTGACATGGTGGCATTTACAAGTTCTTAAGCTATAACAACTTACTGGTTTTTGTTTGAATGTTTTGAAGTTTGAGACAAGAAGTTACGAGTTACTTCGACGTACTTTCTCTCGTGGTTCTTTATATTTAGTTTCCTTTCAAAAACTGTAAACACTGAATGACTTAAATGTTTGCTTTGAGGCTACAAGGAATTCGAATGTCGTTTTACGACATTCTTATAAAACCCAGCCTGAGGACATAACAATTTCCTGCTCTTTCGAAGTTGTTAATTTTAACCGATTTGGGTTGGAGCGAACTGCAAAATTTGGGTAAAACACGAAATCTAAATATATAAAACATGCCTAAAATTATTTTGACGAAAACGATCTCGTGAAGAAAAGTAGTAGCTGAAACAAACAGTCTACATTGCAGGAATAATAATAATAAATGTTGACTTCCTTTTGTCTACTTAGAAACTTTGTACTTAACATAATTAGTTTAACTGATGCAGGTAATCAAATAAACTATTAACCTCTTTTTTTCATAACAGTTTATGTAAGTCTGCCTTCGTGAGAGAGGTTTGATAACAGTTTATGTAAGTCTACCTTTGTGAGAGAGGTTTCATAACAGTTTATATAAGTCTACCTTTGTGATAAAGGTTTCATAACTGTTTATATAAGTCTACCTTTGTGAGATAGGTTTCATAACAGTTTATTTAAGTAGTTTTCGTGTTAAAGGTTTCATAACAGTTTATTTAAGTAAGTTTTCGTGTTAAAGGTTTCATAACTGTTTATATAAGTAAGTTTTCGTGTTAAAGGTTTTATAACTGTTTATATAAGTCTACCTTTGTGAGAGAGGTTTCATAACAGTTTATATAAGTAAGTTTTCGTGTTAAAGGTTTTATAACAGTTTATATAAGTAAGTTTTCGTGTTAAAGGTTTTATAACTGTTTATATAAGTAAGTTTTCGTGTTAAAGGTTTCATGTTAGTTTATTATCTTTAGAACAGTGTTACCTATTCTATTACTACACCATTGAATATTTGCTGGCTGTTTAACTTGTTTATGCCAGAGACATTTCGAAGTATACATTAAAATGTAATTACTTTATGAAGGGGGGGGGGAACTAATATATGTTTTAAAATATATTTGAGACTTTCTATTTGTACATATTAATTATGAACTAGCTAATTATATCAACAATAGTTTTCTGCCTAGTCTTTTTTTTTTTTAACTACCATTTGCTTCCGAAATATTTACACAAGTTCTAAGGTGTTTTTCTTTCTTTCTTTTTCTCTCTCTCTCTCTCTTCTTTTTATTAAATTAATAATCTACATACACGCTGGCATAATACGCTTTATAATGAACAGCCGGGATTTGTCAGTTTTGAAAATCGATTTTTCAAATGAGATTGAAACTTAATACGAAACTGTGACAACGTTCGGATCGTGACCTATTTAGGCAGTGCGTGTCGTAACGATTCTTGGTATCAAGACTAAAACTTGATACGAGTTCAGCATTTTACAGCCTGATAAGTTGCGGACAAGTGTACTCTCCCCCAAAAATAATATTAATAGTAATAATAAAAAAAAAAGTTTCGTCAGTCTGTTTCATTCACGGAACGGAAATGTCTTCAAATAATGTAGGTGGAAGCCTCTAAGGTTATTAACACTTTTATTGTATATATATAAAAAAAAACAATAAAAATCACAAAAATATCCGTGTTCAACCAAGGCAAGTCTACCATTTTTGGCGTTCATGGAGTTGATTTTCTACTCAAATAAACTAAATTCAACACTCAAAAGTTTAAAACAAAACTCCTAATAATAATTAAAATCTTAAAGAAATATTTTTTTTTTTTAGTTACGAATATGAAGACATCAAGAAAATGTTGCTAAATTACACACATTGGATATGCTTAAAAAACGAACCCTTTTTTCAAGTCTCTTAGATCAAAATATTAATATAACATTTATGTACTGTCTACCAATTTAGAAGGGCAGACGAAATACAATCGTTGGGATTTTACAGTTTATTATTTTTTTTTAATAAAACAAAACCGAAATTAAACACACTACTTAATAAAAATTATCTTTTTTCGGTGAATATTGACCGTTGGATCTTTAGAATATTGTTATTTTTTTTAGCCACCATAGAATATTACGTTACGATTATATGTTTATTGATATCCAAATCTACACAATGGGCTATCCGTGCTGTGCCCATCGCAGGTATCGAAGTCCAGTTTTTCGCGTTATAAGCCCTCAGACTTACTTACCACTGCAACAATGTGGGGCCTCATATAAAGAAAGCCTGACGGTATAAAGTAAATAAATAAAAAAAAAATGGGACAGTTAAATGACAAAAACTAAGTAAATTCATCGGGTCATAATCGTCCCAATCACAAAACATTCATAGGGTCATAAAACCTCCCAATCACAAAAACACTGAAGAGCTGCTGCAAGGTAAGGATAAAATAACTTTTACTTTAGAATATATGAAAATACATCGTAATTTTATTGCATGAACATACAAACATGAGCAAGCAACTGCTTTTCAGTTTAAACATTTAAAAACTACTTGTAAAAATATCAAGTTTTATATTAAGATGAGTAACAAAACGAAGGTCATACAATGAAAGTCTTGAAACCTCCTACTGTGTCATAGAACAACTTTGACTCACTCCCTAATGTGTCATGGCACAACTTTGACTCACTTCCTAATGTGTCATTACACAACTTTGACTCACTTCCTAATGTGTCATAGCAGAACTTTGACTCGTATATTTCCTAACATGTCTTAACACAAGTTTATCTCATATACTTCTTAATGTGTCCAATCACAGCTTTGACTCACTTCCTATTGTGTCTTAATACAACTTGCTTCATATGGTTCTAAACAATTCCCGAGACAGCATTGATTCTTCTGTCAAAAAACATGTAAAAACTTATATAAAAAGTGACTCAAGTGTTGGAACACTTCGCTGCACCTTTGTCCCAACTAAAACCTTATTTTATCTTGTAAGAACCTTATTGATTTTGTAAATAAAAACAAAGTGGCTGTGTTCTCTTCAAGAGTCTTTGAACCTCTTAATATTTGTATTTAGGACAAAGTTACTCGGGCTATTTGCCGCTGTCCCTAATTTTGAACTATCGACCAGAGGGAAGACAGCTAATTAGCAATACCCTACCACCTATCATCTACGGTAATTGTTTGAGTATCATGCAATCACAGATTGAAGTGTACTGAATAGTTTGTGGTATCGCACGGATTCGAAACCGGCTCGCCAGCTCCTCTATCCAGTCCTCTTCAACTAATGTTTAAAGCCTCGTTTTATAACAAGCTTTACCCCCCACAGACAACCTTTCTCTAATGTAGTCTAATAGCGTTCATGTCGAAGCTTTGTGAACAGCAATGTTTTTTCATGAATTCAAGTACACGTCCATATGATTTTACTTAAGTAGTGACATCAACTCACAATCCGTGCAGATTTGTATGTGGGCGGCGTACGTTGCTGATTTTGTATCTTAGACGGTAAAACATTGTAATGTCGAAATGTTCTTCCTTACCTACCTACTTAGAGGGATGACGTTTCGGTTTCTTGGCCCTGAGTAAAGAGACCGTAATGTTGTCTACCCACAAAGTAAGACAAGAGCAGTCCTTTACAAATTCCAGCCTTACACCAGACATACCTTTATTTATTTATTTGTTTATAAAAACTTGCATACCCTGGAGAAGTTATCAGACAAAGTGGTCCTGATTTACACCTTGGAGAAATGATCAGAAATCAAGAAATCTTGATGTACATCAAGAGGTCTAGAGGTTAGAGAAGTGACCAGACACAAAGAGATCCTGATGAGGGAACGTTAAGATGTTCGGCTAGCAGCACAACTGCAGAAAGATTCACACGACTACAGTGAAGACTTGTAAGTTATCTTTCCAAGACAAGATGTAAAATAAAGAGTGATGTGGTTAAGCACGTGGAGACAAAGTTTTTCAAAATGACACTGTAAGTGTCGAGCATTTTTCAAGATTCAAAAACACTGTAAAACTTAATTGTTTCACACACACACACACACATTCTATAAAATATAGTTAAACCCTAAATACCTTGTTACACATTCTTCAATGTGATATAACCCCGATATTGGTCAGTGATAATATGTAAGACAGACGTCGACATAGTGTTTTGAACAATTTAGACACCCTGTCCAAGCACACGACCTCTACAGGCAAATATTAAAAATATATTTTCAAAGTAGTTCATCCACACGCCGCACTATAATAATTTTAACTGTTGTCACAGGAGCTAACAAAGTGACAGCGATATTGTTTTGATATCTGCACAGAGTATTCGAGAATTGTGATGAAAATCATTCAACCTAACACTAAAATTATCAAAACAAAAATCAAGATGAATCAGAAACTGATTATATATTGCATCATATGAGCGTTACCCACACATTTCTAAAGATATATATATACTCACAACCTGGATAGGAATTTTAGGCACAGAAAGTATAAGGCACTTAGTAATCATACATTGTACAGTTTGTTTG